ATTTTGTTCTTTGTAAGGTGACCTTGGGTTCTTGAAAAGCACCCTCAAAAATGTATTATTATTATTTATAGGTGAAATGAATGTGTTTTGCAGTATTGCATTGTTTAGCAGAAATAACCCATCTCTGCTATCAGTGCTGAATCTTTGCTTCAGCTCACATGTACAGAACTCTGTCTTCTACTCTGCATTGGCCTGTTTAAAGGTCCCACTGAAGCTTTTTCCTTAACCAAAGAAAGAATTCTGTGATCATCACTTCAGTTTTCTTTCAGGGTGTTTGGGATGTTGCTAAGCTGGCCCGTGGCTTCGTTCTCTGTAAGAGCAAAAAGACTGTTTAACTACCAAAGCTGTCGGCATCAGAGGTTGGCGCTGGCTATCGCATTAACATCTCTTTAATCTGTTGCATTTATTATTAAAGAGCAAAGGAACACGCCTCACCTGGCCATGAAGCTGCTTGTCAGTGAGCTAATTACTTTTGAGCCTGTGCTGCCGATCAAGGTGTCACTGTGGAAACTCTCGTTCTCAACTGATCACATTCACAAGGTTTCGAGAAAACCTACTGAGCTCAGATCCCCATCAGCGATTAAAGCTGGAAGTCTGCACTTCAGTCACAAGCTGTTTCATTTAAACCCGTCTGTGGTGATATACAGAAGGGAAATTACAAAAATGTGCCATGATCAGAAATCTATGGTCCTGATGAAGAAATGACTGAAGTCATTGCTAAAACTGACACTTTATATCCAAATGGCACCTTTGAGGTTTTTATTTACAGTGGTGTGAAAATGTGTTTGCCCTGATTTCCTATTTTTCGTATGTTTGTCACATTTTTGCTTGGACCAGTTTGCAGTCAGTCATGACCTCCAGGACGTCACAGAGAAGCAGAAGCAAGAACACACAGCGGGGTCCTGTCAGACTAAACTGGATAAAAAGAAACGTGACAACAGTGTAGGTCAGAATGGGGTCGGCCGCTGTGTGTCTGTAAGCTCCCCATGTGGCGTGTGGGTCAGGACTCGATGCTCTTTACATGTATAAACATTTTTTACAAGTATAAAAATGGAGAAATGCTTGAAACATTTCCAAGAGGAGGCCTTTGCTGTGTACCAAGAGAACAAAACCACAATCAGGCTGACAGTGTGAAAAGCTCCAGCTGTTTGATGTGAGGCAGCAGATGTGAAAGATGTCTGACCACGAAGAAAAAAAAAATCTTTATTTTTTTTCTTATCAAGATACATTAAAGGATACAGAGACATCGGAATAAAAAACACTTGAGAAAAAGTTTCACTTGTGGCATGTTTGTCTCTCCATCATTAAAAAAATCCACACCCTGTCCCTTTTGAAGGTCAGTCCTGGTTAAAAGAAGCAGTCCACCCACCCGATGAAGGAGAGATGCTTCACACGTACAGTAGCCTGTTAGCGCAGTCTCCTCATTAACAGAGTTACACACCTCAGATGTACAAAATTAAAAACAAACAAACCAAAACTAAAAGTTTTCAATATTCCACTTCTGCAGTTTTCTTTACACACATTAGCATTTGCTACAAACTTGACAATTCAATTTCTTTTTTGAGAGGAAATATTACAAAGCTCACATCGGGACCAAATCTGCTTAAAAAAAGTCATCACTGCCGCAGACGCAGAGGAATCGTAAGGATCCAACAGCTCGGTTTCAGCACTCTCCCTCCGATAAAGGTACAAAGAGGAAAGAAAAACCACAAACAGCAGAAGAGTCCTCCGCACAGTCCTCACATCCCGTCAGAACCAAAACATCCACACATGTACAGAACAGGATGAAGGCTGCATGAAGACAAAAGGGTCAAAGGTCAAGGTGTGTTTCCCATTTGACTCCACTCCTAGAGCCCCGTGTTTTTGCATACATTTTCTGCTTGATTCGACCCACATTTATGAACTGACCACTAACATCAGGGACACTGTCCTGTTCCTTCAGACTGTCTCGCTGCCTGTTCTCCTGCACATTATGGCTTCGTTTTGGACTTCTGCAGAAATCCCACACATGATCTCAAAGCCAAATTTATGATAACTGAGTTGTGAGTAAGCAGCCTGTGTTGTCGGCTGCACCTCTCCTGCTGTATGTACTAACAATTTACAGTAAGCAAAGCACAGAGTGGCTGTTGGAATAAAAACCTATTTCAAAGAAACCTGATTGGCTGCTGCCCAGAGTAGTGATTTACCATTTCCTCTGTGCAGACGCACTGAGTGAGGGGAACAAACTAAACCAAAAACAACTGCAGACGAAGTCTTCAGTGTTTTCAGTTAGTAAACACAATCAGCTCAAACTCTTATTTTGATACCGAGGGTTCAATAATGGACGGAGCTCCAGAAGAAGGAAACAGGTTTGTATGAGGCTCCGATTCTGCGTCTTTGTAAAGTCTAGTCTGACATTTACACACCGTTCCAGTGGGTGGACAGGTGTGCACACCTGCATCTCTGAGGTTTGTTCCTAAAATGAGAGAACTGAACGTAAAGTCAAGTGTGTTGAACGTTTCCAGGCCTGAATGACAGACTGCAGCCATGGAAAGAGTTACAACACGCGGCAGACTAACACCACATTTCCCTCCATCACCACAGCCCACCCGATGATTCTGCTCTGCTAGGATGGAGGAAAGGAGGCTCGAGAGGAATCCTGAAACCGAGGCAAACCCTGGGCCTGCTCAAGCTGTCCTACAGTCCTGTAAGGGTGTCGCCCCTTCAGTGATGCATATATTTACACAAAGATAAGAGACGGGAAAGTCAAACAATGTCTGCTTTATCACCATTGCTTCAGGAAGAAAAATATATGAATTTAAATGACACATTTAAAAGCAGGGCAAGTGTGAGTGTGAGGGCTCCATCACGCTGGCTGCTGCTCTACAACAAACTGATGTGACATCTGCTGGTACGAGATGCTGCTCTGCTGTCACTTCAGCCAGTCGTGCCTCTCAGCATTTGTGCCATTGCTGCTGTGTGTTGGATTTTAACACTATTTCAATGACCAGAGCACAGCAGCTCAGAGCCTCCGAGTGCACAGAACAGACTGGAAACTTTAAAAAATGATCTGCTTCTGGTTGTGAGTTCTCCTCCTCCGATAGTGGCGACGCCTACCACTCAGGACAACACTGCACTCTAAGTTCTGGTATAAATGGTACGGAGCCGAGGCAGGGTTACCATTGGCGACCAATTCAGCATGTATGCCGGAGCCCTGAGGGTTTAATGTGTGCTTACTGAATAGGTGTGTGTGTGTGTGTGTGTGTGTGTGTGTGTGTGTGACAGAGAGAGAAACACATTAACTTATGGGAAG